AAGACGGAGGGAAGGAAACGGGAGAACAGATCAGAGGTGGGCGGGCGGGGTCCGGAGGAGGAGGAGGAAGAGGAGGAGACAACGGAGAGGAGCAGTCAAGGACAGCAGTAGGAAGAGGGGGAGTAGGAAGAGGGGGAGTAGAAAGAGGGGAGCGCACCCCAGCAAGAGCAGCAACCGAAAGGGAAGCAGGGGCCAAAGAAACCTCCATAGCAGGAACAGGGGGCGCAACCACTGAAACGGGAGGGGAAGGAGCAACAGAGCCCGAAGTAGGAGCTAAGGAAGAAAGCGAAGCCTTCTTACCCGCCGGGGAAGAGGAAGGAGAGGAGCCAGGCTTACGCTTCTGACTTAAAGAGACAGGTGTCCCAGCAACTACGTACCGGGCAACGGATTCCAGTGTCTCAACAGAAGCCGAACGAGAGCACACACGACGGCCGTTAGGAGAGCGATGGACATCCGCCTGCACCGACAGGCGGCGGGGAGAGCCGATAGATGGAGGAAGAGGATGGGAAGGAGGATCGGAGGGGGACGAGGAAGAAGACACAGGAGACATGACAGACCGGGTTGAAAGAAGGGGAACCCCAGACAGAGGACCAGGAGGGGGACCCCTCGGGAAAGAACTCAAAGGAACAGAGGAGGGGGCAGTGGGCGTATCAGGGTCCAAGGCCCGGAAACGGTTGAGAGTCTGAGGAAGGGGGGAAGGACGAGGAGAGGAAGAGCGCAACACGCGAGCATAAGAGATGTTAGTATAAGGCGGGAGCCGGCGAACCTGGCGCCTCGCCTCAGGAAAAGACAAACGCTCCCGGTGCTTCAGGTTAAGGACGGCCGCCTCAAGCTTGTAATGGACACAGGCACGGGAGAACGTAGGATGGGCCTCACCGCAGTTGAGGCAGCGAGCTTGGGGAGAAGTGCACTCCGACTTAGAGTGACCTTCACTCCCACACAAAGGACAGAGAGAGACAGTCCCAGAGCAGCGGAGGGCACCATACCCAAACCTCCAGCACTTATTACAAAGTCGAGAAGAAGGAATATACTCCTGGACAGAGCACCTAGCACCAGCAAGAATGACAGAGGATGGAAGGGTCCTACCATCAAAGGTGATCTTCACAACGCGAAGGGGTTGACGGCGACGACCACGAGGGGGACGAGTAAACGAGTCAACCTGGAGGACAGAATGGCCTTGGGCATCAAGGATATGCCGAATATCATCGTGGCAATCCTGCAGATTCCGAACACCGGTTGCAACATGGGGTGGGAGGAGAATAGTGCCAACACTGGAATTCATCTGAACGTTCTTGGAGACCCGAACAGGGATCTCGCCAAGGCAAGATAAGGCAGCCAAGCGGGAAGCCGCATCCTGAGAAGGAGCAGCAACGACACGTGTACCGAGACGAGTGGGGTTGAAAGTAACACACGCATCCACGGAATCTACAAGATGCCGATGGAGGGAGAAATCGTCAGGAGGCGCAGAATCAAGAGGGAGGAGATCAAAGTATTTGGCCCATGAAGCAGGACCAAACAAGGCCTGATACGCATCAGCACGGGAAGGAATCGAGCGAGTGCGGTTGGGGCGCGAACGGCGGTGAGAACCCCTAGAGAGAGAGGGGTCAAAAGGCGCAGTAGTCACAACGAAAGACTTAGCCACACCAGGGGACGAAGTGGTCACCACCGGGGGCTGGAGGCTCGACCCAACCTCAGAGGAGGGAGGGGAGCTGGGGGAAGAAGTCAGGACGGTCAAAGGAGGAGCAAGGTCGGGGCCCAACGCAGCGGGAGCTACAGAGCCTGGTCTTCCAATACAGGCCGACTCGGGGGCTTGGTCGCCCACCCCACGAGCCTGAGAGGGTACAACGGAAACATTCAACGACATAGAGACGAAAAGTGACAAATTCATCCACGAATGTGCCCCCATACCCACCATGGAGCCACAATTAGAGGCAGGACACCCAACAGGAAGCTATCGCTGATCATGCCGGGGCCCCCTAGGGGTGCGTCGTGAGTATACGCCCCACAAACGCCACCTTAAGAACCGTCAGTCCGTCGAGATCGGGTTCAGCGACGAAAGGGGGATTGACAATAAAAGGTTCCCCTCGCTCGAGACGTCGGGTACTACAGTTCTACGGGTGCAAGAGTATGCCTCCTCAAGCACCCGGGCGTCAAAATAGAAGAAGTCCAAAGAAAGAATCCAAAACAAGCAAAAGGTCGGCAGGAAACGACAAGCAGATAGGAGAAGAGGGGGGAGAAAAACGAAACATAAGGAAAAGGAAAAGCGATCCGGCACAATTGGAGAAGACAGCAGCAGGAGTGCAAGGCCAGAAAAGGACAGAGGACTGCCCAACGGAGCATCACACTCCGGCAGCCGTCCACCAAGCCCCCTCACGACGCCAACGGGCCGGAAGGGGAGGGGGAGCAGTGCTGTAAGCTCATGCTGCGTGTGTCAGGCTTGGTAGCTCACTCAATACTGAGGCCACTAACACCCAGGAATTTGGCCCATGATTTAAAAAAAAAAAGGAGTCTGTTTACAAGAGCCCTGATAAAGGTGTGGTGAAACCCGTGTATCCGCGGGGCGTTTAGATCTTGCGTAGTACTCCAAAGCATCATATAATGCGATGCGCAATTTACTGCAAGTCGGTCAGAGCATCATATGATGCGATGCGCAACTAAAGGGTTAAACAATATAGATTTTATACAAAATTTTAAAATACCCTGAGTTACTTTACAATTTATTGATATAATTTAGTTTTGTTTTATTAGTCTTATAAAACTGTAATATCAATACAGTATCCACTTGATTTAATGGCCTATATGTGGCTGTACCATGGTCGTTATTTCCGGAGCTCCGGTACTGTATTTCCGAAGTTAAGTGTCGGTAATTTTTCAAGTAACGTTTAGGTAAGATATATTTTATACAGACAGCCACTGGGTCCACCACTCTAGTGCCCTCTACCCTGTGACGTCACAGATTCACGGCACATTGTTTTGATTTGTCATGAGGCTGGAGTATTCATTCCGTGACTTTGTTGGACATATCTGCACAATCAAGGAACATCCGTGCACCATGTCGGCTCCAAATGCACTCGTTGTGTCAGTGATGGCTGACTGGTGGGTGGATGGGCAGGCAGGCAGGGATGGAGAGGCTGAAATGTAGGCAGGCAGGCAGGGAGAGGCTGGGAGGTAGGCAGGGAGGGAGAGGCAAGGAGGGAGGCAAGCAGATGCTGGGTGGTAGGCAGGGAGGAAGAGGCAAGGAGGGAGGCAGGCAGGCAGAGTTTGGGAGAGAGGCAGGCAGGCAGAGCTTGGGAGGGAGGGAGGCAGGCAGGGGCTGGGTGGTAGGCAGGGGGGGGGAGGGAGGCAGGCAGGAAGAGGCTGGGTGGTAGGCAGGGAGGGAGTGGATGGAGATGGATGGTAGGATGGAGGGATGGATTGATGGAGGGAGGGATGGAGCTATGGTTGTTGGGGTGAAGCAGAGAGAGTGTGTGTATGGGAAGTTTCGGAGGGGGGGGTGTCGGTGGTGGGGGAAGGGACTGGCTCGCAACAAGATGTTTGGATGGAAGGAAGGAGGGAGGGAAGGAAGGAGGGAGGGAGGGAAGGAAGGAGGGAGGGAGGGAAGGAGGGAGGAGGGGAGGGATGAAGGGAGGGAATGAGGGATGGAGGAGAGGGAGGGAATGAGGGATGGAGGGGAGGGAGAGATGGAAGGAAGGAGGGAGGGGATGGAAGGAGGTCGAGGAAGGGAAGGAGGGATGGAGGGGAGAGATGAAGGGAGGAATGGATGGAGGGAGGGAGAGATGGAAGGAAGGAGCGAGGGGGGAAGAAGAGAGGGAGGGAGGGATGGAGCACAATGGATGTTGAGGTGAAGCAGAGACAGCGTGTGTATGGTAAGTATGGGGGGGAGGCGGGGGGGGGGGGGGGGGGGGGATGTCAGTGGTGGGGAAGGGAAGAGATAAGCCTAACACTTGACCCAGTTAACCAGATGTTTGAATGGAAGGTAGGAAGAAAGGGAAGGAGGGATGGAGGTAAGGAGGGAGGGAGGGAGGTAAGGAGGGAGGGAGGGAGGGAGCTGGGAAGGAGGGAGGGAGGGAAGGAGGGAGGGATGGAAGGAAGGAGGGAGGTAGGGAAGGAAGGAGGAAGGGATGGAGGGAGGGAAGGAGGGGAGGGAGAGATGGAGGGAGGGAGGGAGGGAAGGGAGGGAAGGGAGGGAAGGGAGGGAAGGGAGGGAGGGAGGGAGGGAGGGAGGGAGGGAGGGAGGGAGGGAGGGAGGGAAGGAGGGAGGAAGGGATGGAGGGGAGGGAGGGAGGGATGGAGGGATGGAGGGAGGAAGGGAAGGAGGAAGGGATGGAGGGAGGAAGGGAAGGAAGGACAAAGTGATGGAGGGGAGGGATGGTTGGATGGAGGAAGGGAGCTGGGAAAGAGGGATGGAGGGAGGGAAGGAGGAAGGGAGGAAGGAAGGGATGATTGGATGGAGGGAGGGAACTGGGAGGGAGGGAGGGAGGGATGATTGGATGGAGGGAGGGAGGGATGGAGCACAATGGATGTTGAGGTGAAGCAGAGAGAGCGTGTGTATGGGAAGTATGGGGGGAGGCGGGGGGGTGTCGGTGGTGGGGAAGGGAAGAGATAAGCCTAACGCTTGACCCAGTTAACCAGATGTTTCTTAATTAAATTCTGGATGTACATCATATATATTTTTGCTTACAAATTTTGTTTAGTAATAATATTAGGATAATAAAAAGTTATAAAATACTTGTTTCATGAATGCTTTATTAGATGGAGATTCTCCAGGTTGTCTCTGGCTGGCTGGCAGTCTACTGAGCCATTTCCCAGAAGGGTCATTGGGGGGGGGGGGAGGCAGAAAGTGAGGGTGTGGGGGTAGAAGTTCAGTGAGGGTGAGGGAGGGAATGAAAGGGGTCGGCGGCCTGCTTGCCATGTGAAGACCCTCTGATGCCAAGACAAACCCAATACCGACCTTCGGTAATATCGACCGCCAGACCGTTATATGAGGCTCTAAATACCGGTCTCCCAAACCGGTCGTTATTACCGGAAGATCGGTATAAAAGAGGCCGTTAAATTGAGTGGATACTGTATATATATATTTTTTTTTTTTTACATGTTCAGAGAAGGGATTTTAACAATTAACAAAGACTAAATTTTTTGGGAACACTATTTTCTGCACACCACCAGAATGTCACAATAAAAGGCATGGAGCACAAAGGTTAAGAACTAGAATTAAAACCCTTTTGTAGAGTTAAGACACTATCATTTCTCCCGCTTGTTATCTTAACCTTGTTCGGTCCCTAGGGGTGAAGTGTTTGCCCAGGTATGTTTGATTATTTAATTCGTCGGTTTTATTATAGGGCTCGTTTTATTCTCTAAGCAGTAAGGACTGGTTTTGAGTGTTTGTATTCTAGGGTAGAGCTTCAAAGCTCTTGCCCTTACAGCGAGCAAGTTAACTGTTATGTGTTCCACCCTAAGGAACGTTGACTACTGGTACCTTGATAAGCCTAAATGAACAGGCATCCTGCCCCCCAACAACAGGAATTCATGACAAGAGGACATTTGTGAGCAAAATGTTTCAGATAACCTCAACACTTTTACAGTTAATCTCCCATATGAACTCTCATTTCTCTTGCAAGAAACTTTTATAGTTAAATTATTTCTGTCACTATTGTCACTGATCAAACTTATCTCCTATATGAACAAACTTGTACCGTTACATGTGTCTTTTTTTTTTTTTCCTACAAAATGTTTAAGACTGACCACTGTTATGATTTATCTCCAGAATCAACTCCTTACAAGATGGAGATTTTCCATACAATATTTCTGACATTCATGACTAATATAACTTATTTCTAGAATAAATTTGTGTGTTTTACAAGACTGATTATATCGAATTATCCTCATGGCTCCTGCTGATTTTCTCACTAAAATATATCATATGCTCTAAACACTGATACAATATATTTCATGTATGAACTGTCACGTGTGTTAAAAGGCATTCTTTATAGGAAAAATATTTCAGGCACCGATACAGCTTATCTCATGTATGAACTTTCAAATTTGTTACAAGATGGGCTTTTCGGTTAAGATATTTTTGATGTACTTAACACTGATATGGTTGATCTCCTGTATGAACTCTCTTGTGTCTTACAAGAGTGCCTTTAGTGGCAAAATATTTCTGGCACTTTGAACATTGATACGGTTTATCTCCTGCATGAGCTCTCATGTGAACTGCAAGATAGTGCTTATAGGCAAAATATTTCAGGCACTCTAAACACTGATACAGTTTATCTCCTGTATGAACAACCATGTGTCTCACAAGAGTGTCTTTTCGGTTAAAACATTTCAGACACTTTAAACACTGATATGGTTTATCTCCTGTATGTACTCTCATGTGTGTTACAAGATATCCTTTATAGGGAAAATATTTCAGGCATTCTAAACACTGATACGGTTTATCGCCTGTATGAACTCTCTTGTGTATTGTAAGACTGCTTTTTTGGCTAAAATATTTCAGACATTCTAAACACTGATATGATTTACCTCCTGTTTGATTTCTCTCTTGTTTTTTTAGAGTGAACTTTTTTGAAAAATCTGCAGGCCTAACCATTTTTACGAATTGTAGTGTAATTGAATATACTTAGTATGTAAAGCAGACCACAGCAACTGCAATATTATTCGCTTGATAATACCGGGTCAGTAGAAAATGTAAAGAAAATATCAGGAAATGGCCTACAGACATATACAGATGTTTCTTGAATGACAGGAGATCACAGGTGTCCCATATAGGGTGGTAGTTTATTCCTCAGAATACCTGTGGAACATCTTGAAGTACAGGTCACAGGTGTTAGGGATGATATGGTGGCAGTGTGTTACTCAGATCACCTGTGGAATAGAGAAATGAGACAATATTGTGTACTATTCCAGGATAAACTAGACATTATCTATAAACTCTGGAGAAGATTTTTAGTGTGGTTTATCTACTGTGGCAATGTGCATAATATATTAAGCACATAATTGATGGTTGACATAATATAATGTTTCCTGTGTATATCTCCATACTGAATATGTTATCAATTATTTGCTTAACTGTTATAACTATATTACTCTAATTGTGTGTGTAAAATAGGTGTTTATTTAAAATATTAATTATATAACAACTAAGCGATATAATAATTATATTACATGATAAATAACTAATTAATTTAGCCCTTCCACTGCACATCTCACAAAGTGATGGGTGGATAATTATGATCAGACTGTACATCCTATCAGGAGAAGTATTAGATTACATCTAATACTAATAAAAATACTAATACTAATAAACTCCTGAGGGTACACAGGGCTCAAATCAGCTTTCTCAGGTCTCCAGTAAACAGACGGTATTTAAAATAAAATAAATATCGTGGACACTGTTTCTGGGTGTGAAGGCCTCAGTACTGAGTGAGCAACCAAGGCTGGTGCAAGCAGTGTGAGCTAACAGCGATGCTGTTGAGCTTGTGTCAACAGCATTACTTAAAAATGAAACATACAAGTATACTCAACATCCTCCCTTCCATACACCTTGGGCACAATTGTGATTGGATATGTAGTCGTGTCTGGATAAGTAGTCAACCCCTCCCCCCCCCCCCGCCCTCCCCAGGCATGAAAAAATAATACTTTTATGTCCAAGTAAGTACTTTACAATACATTATTTCCACAAGATACCTTAAACAAAATGCTACAGATGATCAAAATATATTGCTAGTAATACAGCAATAATAAATATGGGTACTCACCAAGTGTCCAAATGTTTCTCAACCTACAATAATAATTAATAATTATGATATTGGAATGATGTGTGAGTGAGTATGGTGGTGTTAACTGAGGGTTGAGGCCTAGATGTTGAGGGGAGGGGTTAGGTTTTGTTTGGTTTGGTTAGCTTTGGTTTGGTTAGCTTTGGTTTGGTTAGCTTCTGGTTTGGTTAGCTTCTGGTTTGGTTAGCTTCTGGTTTGGTTAGCTTCTGGTTTGGTTAGCTTCTGGTTTGGTTAGCTTCTGGTTTGGTTAGCTTCTGGTTTGGTTAGCTTCTGGTTTGGTTAGCGTCTGGTTTGGTTAGCTTCTGGTTTGGTTAGCTTTTGGTTTGGTTAGCTTTTGGTTTGGTTAGCTTTTGGTTTGGTTAGCTTTTGGTTTGGTTAGCTTTGGTTTGGTTAGCTTTGGTTTGGTTAGCTTTGGTTTGGTTAGCTTTGGTTTGGTTTGGTTTGGTTTAGTTAGCTTTGGTTTGGTTTGGTTTGGTTTGCTTTGGTTTGGTTTAGTTAGCTTTGGTTTGGTTAGCTATGGTTTGGTTAGCTTAGGATTGGTTTGGTTAGCTTAGGATAGGTTTGGTTAGCTTAGGTTTGGCTTGGTTAGATTTAGTTAGCTTTGGTTTGGTTAGGTTTAGTTAGCTTTGGTTTAGTTAGGTTTAGTTAGCTTTGGTTAGGTTTAGTTAGCTTTGGTTTGATTTAGTTAGCTTTGGTTTGGTTTAGTTTGGTTTGGTTAGGTTTGGTTTGGTTAGGTTTGGTTAGGTTTGGTTAGGTTTCATTAGGTTAACCATGGTTAGGTTTAGTTTGGTTTGGTTAGGTTAGTTTGGATTTGGTTAAAATTGGTAGGTTATGTTCAGTTGGGTTTAGTTAGGTTAACATACTCCAGTACAAACTAGTTTCAATGGCATTATAAATTTGTTCAGGAGAGAGAGAATCGTCCTGCACGATCTTAAATTTGGACACACATTCCTCTGCACTTCTATGCACCACAAAGGGGACATTCCAGATTCATCTTCCTTTATAAGCTGAATGCTTTGATAACAGATCATCACAACATGTTTTCCCTTGACTTCAATGCTTGTTGAAACCCTAAACAACATATTCCCTGCATTTCTTGATGCATTAGTAGTAGGATGCAAAAATATGCTCAGATATAAAACGATGAAATAGGGGAAGGGTTTTGTCCGACACAGGTAAACAAAAACAAAATAATGGTCATGCCACTGGCAACTCGGTAGCTGGCCTCGGAACTACATAGGCTTCTCCTGAGTGGGGGAGCCGCTTGGGGCCGGATCACAAATGAATAGATGGAATAAACGAATGATTGAAGTCAGATAGCAAGGTCAGGGAGTGTAATTGCTATTATTTTATGATGATAGTATCATAGAAGAACCTGACTGCAATACAGACTTTGTACAATGTTCAGATATCAATGAACACAATACTATTTATAATGTTCACAGTTGACACAGGTTAGATACTGCACTCTGCCATTGTTTTGCGCATCTACACATCATGAAACAACCTCATGCTCTTTTAAAAAATATACTTGTGCAAAAATTATTCATATTCAAGATTTAGTGAACAGTATGCTGATGATAATAGCAACATTATGCCTAGAGTTAGCAACAGGCAAGTTATATTGGAGGCATTATGTTGAGTCAGGTGGCATCGTGTCAGCTGACTAGCATGTGAACGCTATGCTGTGTGTGGGTCCCATCAGATCAGCTTAGTGGTTCTTTATGGTGCATAAATATTTAGATAGTTATATATACAAATAGTGTATATCCAGTGCAATAGCACTGCTTTCTTGCTCTAAGAATATAATAATCTTGTCACTAACATTTTACCTGAATGCACCATTTTTTTTAGTGTAGTGATGTTCACACTATTCTCCATTTAATGTTCCATTTTATTATATAAATTTATCAAATTACACATTATTGTTATCAGAATGGTGATAATAATAGCAACAGTATGCAAAGAATTAGCAATGTGAGTAGTATATAGTAACCCATTTTCCATCATCTACTGGCACAGTCTGCTGGAACAGTCTGCTGGTAGTGTGTACTCACCTAGTTGTGCTTGCGGGGATTGAGCTTCGGCTCTTTGGTCCCGCCTCTCAACTGTTAATCAATTGGTGTACAGGTTATCTTGAGGTGCTTCCAGGGCTTAGCGTCCCCGCGGCCCAGTCGTCGACCAGGCCTCCTGGTTGCCGGACTGATCAACCAGGCTGTTGGACGCGGCTGCTCGCAGCCTGACGTATGAGTCACAGCCTGGTTGATTAGGTATCCTTTGGAGGTGCTTATCCAGTTCTCTCTTGAACACTGTGAGGGGTCGGCCAGTTATGCCCCTTATGTGTAGCGGAAGCGTGTTGAACAATCTCAGGCCTCTGATGTTGATAGAGTTCTCTCTCAGAGTACCTGTTGCACCTCTGCTTTTCAACGGGGGTATTCTGCACATCCTGCCATGTCTTCTGGTCTCATGTGATGTTATTTCTGTGTGCAGGTTTGGGACCAGCCCCTCTAGTATTTTCCACGTGTAAATTATTATGTACCTCTCCCGCCTGCGCTCAAGGGAGTACAGTTTTAGGCTCTTTAGTCGGTCCCAATAGTTTAGATGTTTTACCGAGTGGATTCTAGCAGTAAAGGATCTCTGCACGCTCTCCATGTCAGCAATTTCTCCAGCTTTGAAAGAGGCTATCATTGTGCAGCAGTACTCCACTCTAGATAGCACAAGCGTTTTGAAAAGTATCATCATCGGTATAGCATCTCTAGTGTGAAAAGTTCTTGTTATCCAACCTGTCATTTTTCTTGCAGTTGTGACGGCTACTTTATTGTGTTCTTTAAAGGAAAGGTCTTCCGACATGAGTACACCCAGATCCTTTACATTGCCTTTTCGTTCTATGTTATGATTTGCCTGAGTTTTGTACGTGGTTTCCGTTTTTATATTTTCATTTTTTCCATAGAGCATGAGCTGGAACATATCTTCGTTAAACACCATATTATTTTCTGTAGCCTATAGAAAGACCTGATCTACATCTGACTGGAGGTTTGCCGTGTCCTCTATGTTGCCTACTCTCATCAAGATCCTAGTGTCATCTGCAAAGGATGATACAGTGCTATAGGTTGTGTTCTTGTCTATGTCCGATATGAGGATGAGAAAAAGTACTGGAGCAAGCACAGTACCCTGGGGGACTGAGCTCTTCACGGTTGATGGGCTGGATTTTATTTCGTTAACTATTACACATTGGGTTCTGTTGGTCAGGAAATTGTAGATCCATCTGCCTATTTTTCCGGTAATTCCTTTTGAACGCATTTTATGTGCAATAACACCATGTTTTGATAACAAAAGCAATAACAATATTGCTTATGTTATCAAAAGCGTTATTGCTTTTGATAACACATTTATCAAAAGCTTTTGCGAAATCTGTGTAAATTACATCAGCGTTTTGTTTGTCTTCCATAGCATCTAATGCCATATCATAGTGGTCCAGCAACTGCGACAGGCAAGAGCGCCCTGTTCTGAAACCATGTTGTCCGGGGTTATGGAGATGCTGTGATTCCATGTATTTTGTGATCTTACTTCTTAGCACTCTCTCAAAAATTTTTATGATGTGCGATGTTAGTGCTATCGGTCTGTAATTTTTTGCCTCTGCCTTATTTCCTCCTTTGTGAAGTGGTGCTATCTCTGCTGTTTTTAGTATATCAGGAATAACGCCAGTATCTAGGCTTTGTCTCCACAGAATGTGGAGGGCCTGTGAAAGTGGTTTTTTACAGTTCTTGATGAATATGGAGTTCCAAGAATCTGGGCCTGGTGCAGAGTGCATAGACATACTGTTTATGGCTTCTTCAAAATCCAGTGGGGATAGGGTGACGTCTGATATATGATTTGATGTTGGTATCATATCCATGAAAAATTCATTTGGATTATCAATCTTTAGTGTGTTTAATGGCTCGCTGAAAACAGAGTCGTACTGCTCTCTCAGTAGCTCGCTCATTTCTTTGTTGTCATCGGTGAAAGTTCCATCTCCCTTTCGCAGGGGCCCAATACTAGATGTGGTTTTTGATCTTGATTTTGCATAGGAGAAAAAATATTTCGGATTTC